TTCCTGCAGAAATACCAGATCTCCTTTCCTAATGGAAACTAATTTATGGATATTGCATACTTGATGATATCTGCATAGTTCCAGAAAATATTCTTTAGACCATCTCTTGAATCAAGGCCTCTTCAGAATCGTCATTTCCTTCTTCATACACTAATGGTTTACTGTTCAGGGTGGCTTCTACATTACTAATGCAGAAGAGAGTACTTCTTCATCCAGCAACAAAGCGATTTTCTCAGACATTATTTAGTTAATTCTATTACATTATTACACCAAGCAGCCCAAGGCACAATAAATTTCCATTCAATGCCGTTTGAAGCATAACATTTTTTTTACTGTGATAACCGTCATGGTATTCCACAGAGATTCCAATTCTTTGTTTGTGGCATGAAAGGTTGTGACATTGTCAGTATAGATGGTGTGAGGGAGTCCTCCTCGACCATTAAACCTTCTGAAATACCACCACAAATTTATCAGTTGTCAGATCCAAAATGAGTTCCAAGTACAAAGCTCAAGTAGTTGAGCATGTGAATAGTACAATGTACATTGTATTCAATGGCTGCACATTGAATACAAAGACAGGACCAGCAAAATCTATTCAAGTAGTAGGGAACAGTTTGCAGAGTGTCACTCTTTCTGTTAGCAGTGGAGCTTCTGTTTGGTTACCCGCTAACGCTTGAGATAGTTTACAAATTAAGAAATTGGGAAGAATGTGCTTAATGGCATCACAAGATCCAATAACTGGAATGTAGTTTGAAAAAAACTATTTGAACACCGAAGTAGTAAATGAATATGCATACAGTGAATTAGAAAGCAAACAAAAGGCTAGAGCCATCAAGTAACAGAGAATGTAGTATGTTCGAAGATACCACTGTAAACTGAAGTCTGCCTTCTCACCATTAAGACTGTTTCAGGAATGGGTTAAAACGAGCAATTTTCAATTCTGTAGGTAGTGGTAAATTATTTTGTAGAGCTTTGACTTTAGTTGAGAAATATTCTTTTTCCACACAATACGTCCAATATTCTTTTGTCTTCTTTAGTTCAGTTGCAGAGATCAAAGGATGGACAAAGCTGCGATTTACAATTGTGAATGAAGTGGAATACCCAGGCTGTCACATGGATTAGTTTGATGAAACCACTGAATCGAATAAAATCTATCATATGATTAAACTTAGTCATACACAAGACAGTGAAATTCTGCTTTTCTTGTTTCTGCTTCAGCCGATATATGGTCATTCATTAATATAAATTTTGTAGGACAAACATCTTCAGGTTGCATTAGCAAAGGTATCCTTCCTACCACAATGCTAAGATGGAGAGCTGTGCTGGTGTATCCAGCGAAAGATGATCCCCTGGAATTCTATTACCTGGGAAATGCCACTGTGCTGGAGAAGTATATTGTTGGATTTCAGTAATTCAATTGCAGACAAACGTTTTCCAGTAATTGGGATCCCCTCAAATCCAACAGAGCTACAGTGGAATCCCTCCTAAGTGTTGCTGTACTTCAATCTAAGCCAGTTTCTTTACAGACACAGTGGAACTGCTGTACACCTATTACTGTTGCCAACAACTCTATTTAAGAAGGGTTTTTTTTTTTTTTTTTTTTTTTAAACAAGAGGTTGTGACTGTATACTAATCAAACCTTTGTAACATTTTGTTCTATAAAATAGGTGTACAGCACTGTTCCATATGCTTCAGAAGCAAATTTATGAATATTTACTTCAGAAGATGAAACTCCAATCCATTTTGGAATGTAAATGGTGTTTAAAAGTGGTAACGCAGAGGTTCACTTGGACCATTATGTTGCGATAGCCGGGGGAGAATCTTAACCTACAGCAATCCACAGAGCCAAGCATCCTGAAAAATAATTTTTCCTACAACTGCTACTGGGGCTAAAAGGACTAGCGGATCTAAAATTTGGATACTGTTCTCAAAAACAAAGTTTCATTATGGGCTTTTCTGTCAAGTCATAAACACTACATTCATTAAACTAGAGATGCACAACCTGTGGCTCGTGAGACCTAGACTAAACTAGGGATGCACAACTTGTGGCCCACTGAGACCTTTTCAAACTTTTTCTGCGAGTTGACATATCGGTTGCTTTAAAAGGGGTTGCGAGCAAAAAAAAAATTCACCACTCCCCCCTTCATTACTCATTCTACTCTGTCCTTTCGAAGTGAGATTTGGCACTGAGCCAAGTTCCAGGTGTCAACCAAAGCACGTTATCCACTGCCTGTACACAAAAATTGTTCCTAGCCTGTAGAACCAACACCTGTAGAAGATTGAGAAAGAGTCTGTGGTATGACGTAGCACGAGTGTGTTTGAACGCATACGTTAGTAAAATAGAAGAGAAAAATATTTGCTCAGATCCGAAGCGGTGCATTAATTTGCTTGGCGTCATTGCACTTTTGGCTTCATGACTATACATTGTTTTTTCATGCATGTGTTTATTTTTCTTTTTGAGACCATTAAGAAGTTTCATGTTTTGAATATTTTTCTCTGGGACGTATCACAGGGATCAGCAAGTTTTGGTTCCTGTTTACAAGCAAGACATACAATTTTTTCTAATGGTGCAGTAGGATGATATGCATTAGTGCTTTCAAATGCCTTTACATTCATATACACATTTTACTTTTGTTATTATACATGCAACTGTTCTAAATGTAAACATTTCATTCTTACAGTTTTACATTGCCAGATTCGAAATTTAAATCGAACTCCGCACATAGAAAAATTATGATTGATGTCATGTAACTGTCTATCAAGAGACTGGAATACACACCCTCATTATAATGAAATATTCATGGTGTATACATATGAAATAAAAAGGTATCCTAATATTTTATAATGTTATTCTATCCAAAAACTGCTTAACCCTTTGACGCGCGGTGGTCGCGCCCTGAAACCACCAATTTTTGAATTTTTTTCTCCTCTTCGTTCCGAAATTTTTGAGTGAAAATCAACTGATTACTGATCATTTATCTCTAAATAACACAAAATGACTGCAGAATCATACATGTTTTAGGGCTTAGTACTTCAAATCAGATGCCTTTTAAAATTCATTTTCAATGAGACAAAATAACTTCCTTTTATTAATATAAAAAACTTTAAATTTCAAAAGTTATTCATGGCACATCATGATTTCTATCATAAACAATAAAAAATAGCAATAGTTAAACTGCATATATAAGAAAATATTCTATATGTATGGCATTTGCTTTGTGGTTTCATTGCGTGACCACTGCACCACTAGAGCATTGTGTCACAATGCTCTAGAGGCTCGGTGGTCACGCCTTGAAACCACTGCTGTTCACAATGGCGTTTGCTTGCTTCTCAAATAGGACTGTTTATTTTTACTTGGATATAGATAAGGGGTTTTGAAACCACAGAGTTATTTTATTACTAAACAATACATGCACCTGCCCAGTAAAAAGGTCTTTCTTTTCCAGAATGTTTTCTGACCTCAACACACTTCCTCCCCAAGCTAGTATTGTGATTTTATAAATTATTTCCTGTGGTTTAAATTTAATATAAATATACTTTGCTAATATTAAAAATAGAAATTGCATAAAGTTTTATTTAAATTATATTTAAAATTAAAAATATTTTCTGAATACTCTGGGACGAAATACGAATAAAATAAGTATGAATGGGAAACGAATGATCCGTAAGCCCACAAGACCAAAAAGGTCTTTCTTTTCCAGAATTTTTTCTGACCTCAACACACTTCCTCCCCAAGCTAGTATTGTGATTTTATAAATTATTTCCTGTGGTTTAAATTTAATATAAATATACTTTGCTAATATTAAAAATAGAAATTGCATAAAGTTTTATTTAAATTATATTTAAATTAAAAATGTTTTCTGAATACTCTGGGACGAAATACGAATATAATAAGTATGAATGGGAAACGAATGATCCGTAAGCCACAAAGACCAAAAAGGTCTTTCTTTTCCAGAATTTTTTCTGACCTCAACACACTTCCTCCCCAAGCTAGTATTGTGATTTTATAAATTATTTCCTGTGGTTTAAATTTAATATAAATATACTTTGCTAATATTAAAAATAGAAATTGCATAAAGTTTTATTTAAATTATATTTAAATTAAAAATATTTTCTGAATACTCTGGGACGAAATACGAATAAAATAAGTATGAATGGGAAACGAATGATCCGTAAGCCACAAAGACCAAGCACCATTAACATAAAAAACCGCAAATTTCATGTGCCAGATGAAAAGAAACTAAATAACGCTAGAAATATACCAGTGAAATTTAGATCCAGGCAGTGTATGTTTTTGTAGCGCAAGGAAGAAACCTCATAGAAGAAGATACATGTGAGAAACATGCAATGTGGGTCTATGCACACACCAAAAATACTTGCTCTTTGAAATTAAAAAAAAAAAAAAAAAACACCAAGTCTTCTCTCTCTCTCTCTTTCTTTTTTTTTTTAATCCTTATTTTACTGAGTTTTTAATCCATTTACCCAAACGTCCTTATTATGTCGGTACCTATATTTTCACTGTTGTAGAAAAATTACATAAATGTTTATTTTTAAATTTTTCTGATGATTTACTTATTATGCAATTCCTACATACATTTTTTTTTTAAATTCGTAAATTTCGTCATTTACTGGAAACGCGCACGGAGAAAAGTCAGTTTTTTCCCCCCTACTACCTAGGTAAGTTTCAAAGTCCTACACGCGCGGTGGTTTCACAGTGCGACTACCATCCACAGAACAATGGGCAAGAGAAGATTTTTTTAAATTCATATATCACTTGCCTCTAGGATCATAATATTAAATTTCTAGAGATTTTAGTTAAAAAAATTATAAAAATAATATCACGCACATCAAAGGTTTAACTGCACCAAAGTTTCCTGAACTTATTATGTTTTACATTTGCATATTATCCTTAATATGAACATTTACTGTAAGTTCTTAAACAAATCATAAAGTTTAAATTTTCATTAAACAATAATACTTTAATAAAACAAGTAACTTACTCAGATACCCTCGATATTTTAAATCGGTGTCTCTGCTCTCAGTTCTTGCTTTAATGGCATCTAATATAGTATCTGCACTAACCAAACCAGTAGGCCGGACAACATTAAGTAGGTCTGGTAATGCCATAAGAGGCAATCGAACAGCTGACAATATCTCCCTCATGTCAACATCTGGATTCTGCTGTGCCCACTCACAAACAGCACGAAAAATGTCTACTTCAGAAGCACAAAAAGAATCTCTGCTGATCATTTCTTTCAGGGCAGACTGTACAGAGAAGAAAATGGATTACATATTAGTAATTTGAAAAATAAAAATATTTAATGCAACATTTAATTTTATCTTCCAGTTTTATAACAATCAAATTATTTAGAAATTAATTCTGGCTAGAAATATTAATAGTTTTTATTGCTTTTACTGCATCTTTATTTATTTTTTTAAATAAAGCAATTTTCTGTAACTATTTAGAGCTTTTTATATATATATATATATATATATATATATATATATTTACTATTTCATTATCATAGTACAAGAAGACAATGGGCTATAGGTTACATTTTTGTTTCATATAATGAATTCTTCTAGCAGCCTTTTTACCCATTCTGGATAAGAATTATGTTTTAATCATAACATTAACAGTAAGAATCTTTTGAAAAGTTAAAGAATAATGAGAGCCATAAATTACTAACAAATAGATTCTTCAGCAAATATTTTTATCTACAATACACTAACAATAAAAATACTAAATGCTGAGAAAAATTTTAAAAAAAAGGGGGAGTGAAAACGTTTAAAGCTTGGTGCAGATTCGTTGATATTAATGACAGAATGATTTTAGTCATTTGTAAAAAGTAATACACAAAACAATTTTTACTTTAACGCAAAAGCATTTTGTAATTTACCAAAAGCAGACATATCCAATCCACATCTCTCTCTCTCTCTCTATATATATATATATGTAATGTTTTCAGTTATTCCATCACATCGTGGGCGAATGGTGAGGCTATTCCATTATACGTTCTGGCAGATGGTTGACGAAGCTGGGATGATTGAAGTACGGAGAAAAATGACGACTCAGGACTTTTCACTTTTAACAGCAAGCATATCTTTATTTTAATTTATAGCAGATGACTTTTTCCAGATGAAGTTAATCAAATAACTTATTCAGTAATTGAACTATTAGATACGACTGACTTTAAACTTTAATACGTCATAACGTTCTAACAAAGAAAGAGGAGCATAGCGGAAGCGTTAGCAGGACGAAGGCGAGAAGGCATCTGTCTAGGAGAACTTATGACTCAGCATTTATATGAGGAGGTTATGTAATAGGCGTGAATGTTCTAGCAGGTACTGGGTTAGGGGACGATCCTGAATTGCAGAAAATTAATTAAAGGTTGCTGGTTCGCAAAGAGCAAAGCCATCGTATTTTTTTTTTTTTTTTACATCTTCCCCCCCCCGTCAAAAAGAGAGGCCGGGGTGAGAAAAGCATTAGTACAGGAGTGAAGCAAAAGTATGAGAAAAGACATGAAAACATCCAGAACATAGCGTACAAGCTTTAACTATGGCCTATCATAGTTCATGACTTTCTCATATAAAATTTTGACTTTATAGCATATGAAATTTTGAACATTAAAACAATGAGTTATAAATAAATATACAATATATGACTAATTTTAAGACTATAACATAATAAATATGGAATACTGATAAATAAATAAGTTATAATTACAAAAGTCCTCAATTTTGTTAAAAATGTCCTTTTTTTTTTTTTTGAAAGTCCTTTTCATAAAAAGAGTTCGAATAGAATGAAAATATCTGGTAAAATCTCTAAATGCCAGATAGTCCACAAATATGATGCATGTTGATAGTTCACAAATATGATGCATTTTTTTCCTCTCATCGTAAAGATTGACATGTTTTACACTTCAATACAAAATATTATACTTATTCAAAAAACAATTCAATATAAATAATACAATTATACACTAGAACATGAACACTTTGACTTTAAAACTATGGCATGTCCTCGCCAACAGATCAGCGTGATTACTTGCTGATGGTTGGGGGTGCTAGGTACAAATATCGAAAAACCTCCGTTGCCTAATAGAAGGTAACTGGTTTTTGGCATTGTACATTACCTCAAAGTGGTTTTAGAAAAATAAAAGATCATATAAAATCAAAATTATAAGACGGATAACTTGTATAATCAAGTTAAAGTCTTTTTTTATAATGTTGTAAATTAGAAACAAATATTATTCTACAATAAGAAGAAAATTTTTGCTACAAAATAATTCAAATTATGTGAAAGATATAAAAGGTCAAGATCGGGAGAATAATTTGTCATAGTCGGGAAAATAACTTGTCATAGTTAGGGTTTAAGTCTAAATCAGGTATTAAAGGTCATAATCAGGAAAATGTTTAAAAGAGAATTTTTAAAAAAAATTAATTTTAATTTTGAACAGAGATAGGAATTCTACTATTTCGGACAGTTAACTTAAACTCACTTGCTGGATTAAAAGGTCTTAATCTAGTTGAATGAACAATTTCTGATTTCTTTTTAGTTAAAGGATTAGGTTTATCTATTTCATAAGTAACTTCAGAATATTGTTTTAAAATTTTATAAGGTCCTGAGAATGGAGGAGATAATTTACGTGTATTAGGGTATTGAAATTCTTCATACATTACTAAATCACCAATTTTAAAATTACTAGGTTTAAAATGAATATCATATCTTTCTTTATTTACATTATGATAATCATCAGATCTCTTTTGAGCTATTTTTCTGGCTTCTTCTATTGACGGATACAATTCTTGATTTTGAATTAAGGAATCATAAGGTAATTTTCCATACATTAAATATGATGGAGGGAATTTTGTTACAGAATGAGGGGTATTATTATACTCTTCAGTTACTTGGGGTAATAATTTTGTCCATGCTATATTACCGTGATAAGAATTTAGTTTGCATTTTAATCTAGTTATAATAGTTTGATTAACACGTTCAATTTTACCATTAGTTTGGGGTCTATTTGCAGTAGTTAGCAATTGTTTTACATTATGATTCCTTAAAAAGTGCTTAAATTTTGAAGATGTAAAAGCAGCGTTTCCTATCACTTAAAAATCTTTTTAGGGACCTGAATTTGGAAAATTTGTTTTAAGCAATTTATATAAGTATCTGTAGTTACACTTTTGGAAGCAAAAGTCCAGATATATCTAGTTGCATGATCAATAATTATGTGAATATACTTTTTAGTAGAATTATAATAATTTAAACCACCTACAGTATCAATAGATAATATTTCAAAAGGTTCACTAACTGATGGTAAATTTTGCATTAAACCAAATTTCTTTTGTTTACTTTTCTTATTAAACTGACATACTTCACAATGTTTACAATAATTTCTAACATCTTGAACAATTCCTGGCCAATAATATTGTGGAGATAACAAATTTAGCATAGATGATACACCAATATGACCAAATTGTATATGGGCCTTTTCAAGTAATTTCGTACGTAGAGACATGGGTATCACAATTTTGTACAATCCCTGTTTTTTTAATAGTTAAGACATCATTCATTTTCCTATACTTAGTATTACAAACATTATCTAAATTTTGATATTCTTTTATTTCTTCTAATGATAATAAATTAACTTGCAATCTTAAATGTTGACACATAGGATTTCTAGAGAGCATGTCAGCTTCAACATTAGTAGATCCTTTTTTATATTTTATATCAAAATCATACATAGATAATTTTAAAGACCACCTAAATAGACGACCAGTAGGGTGTTTTATATTTTTAAGCCAAACTAAAGCAGCATGATCAGTATGTACAGTAAAATGGTTACCATGTAAATAATAATAAAATTTATCAATTGCATCAATAATAGATAAACATTCCAGCTCAGTAATGGCATAATTTTGTTCATAAGATCTTAATTTTCTAGAATGAAAAGCAATTGGATGTAAACTACCATCAGGATGTTCTTGTTTTAAAACAGCACCAACAGCTTCTTTGGACGCATCAACAAATACATGACAGGGATATTTAGGATTAAACAAAGTTAAAATAGGTCTAGAAATCAATCAATGCATCTTTTAATTTTTGAAAAGCTTTTTGACATTCATCAGTCCAATTATAAGGAGTATCTTTCTTAAGTAAATTTGTTAATGGGGCTCTAATTTTAGCATAATTTTGAATAAATTTATGATAAACATTAATACTTCCTAAAAATCTTTGTAATTCTTTGATATTTTTAGGGGGTTGCAATTTCTTAATAACCTCTATATTTGCATTACTGGGCTGGTATTTACCTGCTTGAATTTCATATCCTAGAAAATTTATTTTTTCTTTAGCAAAATTACATTTAGATTGTTTTAATTTTTATATTCTCTTTCTCACATATATCAAATATTATTTTAAGATGATTTAAATGTTCATCAAAATTTGGAGAGAATACTATAATATCATCAAAATAATTTTTAAAGCAAATTGAATCTGATATTTGTTTAAAATTTGTCTAAGAGCTCGTTGGAAAACAGCTGGGGAATTTTTCCAACCAAAAGGTAATCTAGTAAACTCATACAGTCCAAAATTTGTAGTGAATGCCAATTTTTCAGTATCCTTTTCATTTAATTTTATATGCCAATAGCCTGATGCCAAATCCAATGTAGAAAAGATTTTTGCATTTGTTAATTGATCTAATACAGCATCAATTCTAGGAATAGGTTCAGAATCAGTTTTAGTAATTTGGTTAAGCTTCCTGAAATCAATACACAATCTGCTTCTGGACTGCTCGCTCGTCTCGCTTATAAGCTAAAGTTACAGGAGCAGCATAAGGACTATAAGAAGGTTTAATAATTCCAGCTTTTAACAATTCATCTATTTGTTTTTTAATTTCACTATTATCTTTAGGAGATGCTCTATATGGTCTATAGGCTATTGGTAATTCAGAAGTTAATATAACTCTGGGAGGTTCAACCCTTATACAACCAACATCATATTTACTTTTTGCAAATATATGGTTATAATCATTCAACAATTTCTGTAATTTACTATCAGAATTTTTACTATTTTCAAAATAATTACCACAATTTTTAGAACTAAGATCATTTTTACATACAAAATTTTCGCTATTATCAAAATATTTACTAGATTGTTCAGCACTGATATCATTTTTACATACATAATTATTTTGGAAAAACTTGTCTACTTTAACATTTTTACTTACCTGTTTTCCAAGCTGATACACTTCATAATTATG